AGCGTTAATTTTTGTCCCAAATATATGCTACCTACTAGTCTCGTTTTCTTTAAAATTGCTCCGTGTACAGAAAGCCGGAAAATGAAGCGCACACAAATCTTATTCTAAATTCTATCTTCTTGAAAAAAAAATCCCAAGTTCACATCAAAGTTTTCCGTCAAAAATAAAGGAACTGTATTCCTAAGTCTAACTATAAAGGAATTGTATTGTAGGGCCTTGAGTTTAAATTTTTTAAGTATATTTTTTACATATTTTCCTCACTTGCCCACCAAATATTTTAAAATTTAGCATACTTTCTGCAACTGCTGCTCAACATAAAAAACCTAAATTTGTTGCATTTGTCTTTTAACTTAACTTTAATGGCCGAAATCTCATTGGTGCACAGAAAAAATCTATAACTCTTTTATTTTTTGTTTGATTCTAATTAAAAATGCACAAATCAAAGTAACCTGCAAAAACAGGAAAAAACAGTGTACGTCTTCCAACTCTCTAAAAGAAACAATTTGGAGACTTACATCTTATCCTTAAGAATAAAAAGCTTTTCTACAATCGTTGCTACAATCGATAAATAAAATTTTCAAAGTGGCCCCTGTTTCTTATATTCATATATTGATTCTTCTTAAGACATTACAATGCATTTTAAAAATAATTCCTTTGTCCAATTTCTTTGCAACTGTTAACAATTTGGTCGACTAGTTTTTTTAGAAAGTCAATTCAGTTGATTTAATTAAAATCTTAAAATATCATCCAACAAAAAAGTCCACCGGGTGAAAGTCTGGAGACTTAGGAGTCCCCTCTACAGACCCACCTCGTCCTATCCATCTTTCCGGTCTTGAATAAACCACCTCAAAATTTCAAAACGAACCAACAACTCATTTCTTACAAAATCTCTCTATTGAGTCGGCCCATACCTTCACAGGTGAAACTTCTGTTGCATGATCAAGTGAAGATTTTTATAATTTTTTTGTGAACACTCAATATGTCCACCTCCAAATTCCAGCTCTATCTGTGAAAAACAAATTTTGCACGAACCATTTGTCCTCATTATACAGGTCCATCATTCAGTTGCACATATTTAGGCGAGCTATCGAATGGTCAAAACTTCAAAACAAACGGCTGAACCATTTGAAAATGATACTCATAAGTTGTTCCATCAAAACCTCGTGAAAGTACAGAACTTTTTGAAATATTTTGGTTTGCGGCAATTGATCACACACCAAAGTTGGGGTTATTCCCCACGGAATTTAATGCACGAGCAACTGCCCACCTCAAGAAGTTTTGTCCTGAAAGCTCCAAAATTTCCAAGGTTTCTTTGAATAGCAAGAAAAGTTCGCTATTCTAGAATCTCTTTAGTCGCTAGAAATGCTTTGCCATACAAATGTTGATGCCATTGAATAATTGCTTAAATTACTCTTATTCGATTTGAGACTGCAACTGGAAAAAATACTGTTTGTGTATTAAAATGTACTGAAAATGTTACGATTTCGTGTAAATGAGTTGTTATTGATACACGGCAAGATATTTTGCAGACCAAGTTATTTCATATTGTGAATTGTGAGTTCAAAAATGTGCGACCAAAAATATTAAAAAGCTGTTTACTGTCCTTAAGGTATTGTATATAATTTAAACTTATTTACTGATAGAACATCCAACGCAAAAAAGATACGAACTTAAACGATATTCGCCTATAAAAAAATTGTTCACTTTCTATTATGCGCTGATTTAAATAGGGTGATTCTAGGAAGTAACTAAGACTAGTCATAATCACAAAAGGTGAACGTTACATGAAATGGGTCTCTATATTATGCAACATTCGTTTTATCAAAGCAATTTTTCCATCTAGAGCGAACGAAGCGACATTCTCAAAAACATAAATCGCTTTCAGTTTTATCTATTGAAATTTCGAAGTCGGAGCTTTCAGCGGTCGAGCTTTTATGGACTAAAAAGCACTACGCTTTATGTGAAACTGCATTACGACATGAATAAATCCGGAATATTTCTGACTATACCTACATGGTTTTTTCCAAAATATTTACGTTTCAAAATGCGTTATTTCAATTTATTCTGCGGCAGCTACTCCCGTTTGCAAAAACCCATTCCATAAAATGTGGAGTTACAGTTAACCGTATCTTTTGTCTAACTGTTCCGGTTTTATCCCATGTTTGACACGGGGTTTTTAGCTCATCTCGGCTTTTTGTTCAGACTCTTTAAACATTTATGGATCCTTTTGGGTGCTTAAATGAAGCTTCCTGCTATTCAGCTCAGTCCCTTTGCGATTTTCTACTCTTCGCTGCACTGAAATACTTTGTATTAGCTATAGTCAACCTGGCAACCTCTAGAATTTAAATGTATTTTTAGAATGCGTAAAGAATAAAATAGTTATAGGAAATATAAATATTTTGCAATTTTGGTTGATAAAAACTAACGATTTCCAAAAAGTGTACCATTTGAAACCAATTCGACTTACTAATGAAGCACCTTGATTTTCAGTAATTTTATTGATGGAAATGATGTAGAATTCAACGGTTTCCTCATACATCGTGTAAAATCACAGTATATTTCGAATGTAATTTTCAAATGGAATTTTTTTATTGGTTAAATTCGCAGGCATATTTCAATGAAATATACTTAAATTCTTATTAAGTATGATAGATTTACAAGAAAACCTGAGCATTGATTACTTTTCAGAGCCTTCAAGATTATCGTCAAAAACTACGTTCTGATGGTAACTGGTTCTGATCTCCTAAAGGGTTTTATTTTTGCAATGAAACACTCGGAATTTTGCTCTTTGTATTGATTTTCCATTTAAATTGTCATATTTAAGTTGCAAGTTTTTGTTTTTCAGCAGTTTGCAACTGTTTGCTTCATTTCAAAAATTCAAAAATAAACTATCATAAATAAATGCAAAGTCTGTGCACGCCAGGCGGGCCGAATTTCCAAAGGCCTTTTCTCGCTTTATAAATTCTGCAATTACTTGTACATTATTTCATAAAAAGAAAAGAGCGTCGTGAGAAACATGAGACACAAACAAGCTCGGCGTTGTGTCGTGAACGAAATGTTCTTTATTTGACGGCTACTATTATTTGATGGAAATCTCGCATCAGAAGCAGCCCTCGGCTTCTCATCTACGATTGTCCAAAAGGAAAACACAAGCCAGCTGCCTGATTAAAAGCGTGGCCGTCGGCCAAAAACTTTATCAGAGAAAAACAGCTTTACTTTATGAAAGTTGGATAATTACATGCATGTTTTCCCCACTGGATCAAGCTAATATGTATCGGAATATGGTGCGCTCAATATCATAAATCCTGTAATTATTAGTACCAAATGATAAAGCAAACGTTATAAAAACGTTAACACTTTTTCAAATCGGATCAACGTATTTGATGACGTTGCAGATCAGGGAATTATTATTTTCGGTGTAAACTTTTTAGGAATATTTCAAAAATTATTTTTTGTAAAAGCATTGATTTACACAATTTATTCACACATTAATATTTTTATAGCTTGTTTGCTAAAGGTGCTCCTATAAAGGTTGTTATTTAAATACGTATCCCAATTTGACGATATCGTGCTCTGCGTGATTTTAAGTAGAAAACTTTAGTATAGGGGCTGAAATGAGTAAGAGAGGCAACACACAGTAAAAATAGAAATAAAAAACAATTTTCTTAAATAATAGTGGTATTTACAGCTTTAATTTGTGCTGTAAGATGGGCTGAATTTTGCCCTAAATAGACAAAACCTATTAATTCCAGTCGCGTTTTGTACCAGTTTAACGTAAAAATTCATTAGACCAGATTGGATTTTAATATGATCAACTAGAAATGTAATGAACAATTTCGCGAATAAAGACTAAAAGTGCCTGATTCGTAAGCAAAGCAATCATGATTGAAACCGAAGGGAAACGTTTACAGCAACGTAGCAAAAGGTAGCGATATTATTAAGCTTTTCTGGCTTACAGAGTAAAGGAGGAGTCACGGTATACTAATGAAAATCAGGACTATAAAGGGTTTCTATTTTAAGGCTGTTTAGTAATTTACTATACCTATTCAGACATAGAAGGGCTTAAAATAACCGTTAAATTTTGAGAAAACTTGCATGAGAAAATGCAGGATTTTGGAACATTGTAGTTAAAAGGCATAAGAATTTCAATATTTGTTGTTTAACTCTTGTACTCTATTGGATTTTTAATTCAAGCAAGGAAAAAATAATTTTCTACCGTCGTATTAAATTAAAAATGTATTATTAAAAACTCTTGTATTAAAAGCCATTTTTGTTCTTTGGACAGCGTATAAAAATTGAAAACTGGAAAAATTGAGGACAAATGTTGGAGCAAGTTTTGCTTCTACTGTTTTTTTCAAAGTTTTTTACGAAAAACGTAGAACGTTTTAGATAGTCTTAATCAATTAAACAAAACGGGTTTTCATATTTTTGTTGGCATCTAATTAAATAAAATTCTAAACTAATTAAATAAAATTTAAATAAATAATAAACATAATGGAATATCAAAAAGCCAATTATGTATGTATAGGTTTAGGGGTAAATGCAGCGACTAAATTTCCGTTAAAAATACTTCTTGAATAGCACTTACACTGAAAATGTCAATTTCTTTTAAAAATGGTTCGTGCTAAATAAAATGAGATTAAATATTTTTGAATTTTTAATAACACCCAACAATTGGACGTAAAATAGATATTTTTGTTTCATATCTAATTAACAATAATAACTAATAAATATTTTCGCTTATCTTTTCAACACAACCACTTTATTAAATATTCAATATTAAATCCGGAGACGGTCGTTTTCAATTCCCAACTCCACCTACTGCTTCAAATAACTTATCATTTGATTATCTCTGTATACATCGATTAATCAAGAAAAAGTCATAATTTCACTTTATCTAGCACATTGACGTCACGAGGCAAGTTTCACCAATTTTCTTGATGCACTTGCTTTTGCTTCTGTGGCTATATACTCTGTGCTCGGGTTCTGCCAAGTATCAGATTACTGTCGTTGGTTGTTTGTTGTTTACATTTGCTTCCTAACCTAAATGAGAGCCTAAATCCTCAAATTGTTGAGGTTTTTTTAAACGGTAAGAGTGATTCTTTTAGTATCTAAATATTTGAGAGTTTGATGAAATTCACATTATTTTATTAAGTCAGTTCAAACGATATGCAAACAGGATACATGATGGGATATGCTTTGTTTTTTAAAATGGGTTTGAGAGTCCCCACTAAAAAGAGCAAATTGAGTTGATTAAAATCAGCAGATTAATACGAAATCATTACAGAATGATGAACTAAAAAATTCAGCGTTCAGCTCAACAAAGAGTTGTAAAAATGGCAATTTTTTGTTGTCTGGCCCTCTCATTCGAAGCTCAAGTCTGTCTAGGAGAAATGCTGTTGCAGGCTCTTTTTACTCATTGAAATTCGCAATTTTTTCATAAAACTACAAAGAACTCCACGACAGATATGTAACGCACCGAAATCACCTAGAGACAGATTGGAAAATTTTACAAGTTGCCAATTCTACATATATTTGTTGTACGAAACACCACTTTACTGAGAGGTTTTTCTATTAACTATAATATTGTCAAATACAAACGCGAAAGGCAAATAAACTAAAAAATTATTTAAATTATTTTTCAAGTAAAGAACCATATTATTTTAATAATCTGGCACTTCTGCAATAAAATAACGTCCAGAAATTTAGTGCTAGAAGCTGTTAACCGTCTCATGAAACCATTCCACTGAGTATGGCTCGATTCTATTACGTTAATATACGTATCTATAGCATAGTATCAGTTGTGGTCAAATATAATTTGTTTTTTTAGAAAGAAAATCGCACAATCATGGATATAAATTGCTTAAACTGTTTTGGACTCTTTAAATTTTAGGTTTAACATAATGAGCAAGGGTCTTTTACACAGAAAGCAATAATAAGCAAAATCCTTACAAACCTGTACTTCAATCCGTCTACTTATTGCATGAGTTTAACCACAGAACTGCTTAATATTTCTTCAGAACATCAGGTTTCACTGTGTAGAAGAACGTTGGGATGTTATCGCTGCTTAATGTTAAATTCAAGTGTTTTATTGGAAGATATTACTTAACACGAAGTTGCACTAAGGGTTAGAGATCACGAAAAATGTACCTACCTTAAAAATGGTTCAAAATGCCTCAAATTCCATACTTTTTCAATCACGAAACATATGAAATACTAAATTTTCTTTCGTTATTTTTCTTCTTGAAAAAAAAATTTGCAATGTTATATTTATAATGTTTTAGCGATACTACTAGATGGTCACCAAGCTGCTTGAAAATATTTCTTAAAAGCAACTTAAAATTGTATATTCAAGAGCTACTATCTTCGAGTTATAAACTCAAGTGATTATAGAACTGTGAAGAATGTGACTATTTTATTAGTATGCTGTACAATATTTGATACTATGCAACATATATATAATTTAAAAAAATTATAGTAACTAATATTAGCACGCATTCGACTTATTCAGATCCCTGGTTACTGCTACCATGTCAATTATCGATTTGGATCCACATTTCATCAGATGCGTAGGTCTGATGTATGAGAGTCGAAAATTGCGAAAAGGGGACTCTGTGCCCTTGCAATATATCCTGGAAGAGGCCATTTTCCAAAAAACTGGCTCAGCTAAGGATTACACAAACTACTTTCAAACTCAGCTCGCGCCAAGAGAGAGTGAAGAGCCTCTCATTGTGAATGTCTACGAAGATGATGGTAGATTCATTGCATCCGAATATATAAGCCTGTTTGGAGCGTTAGATATTTTAGGGAATGACTCGGACAAAGATTTGGAACTGGATCTTTTCAAAGATGATTTAAGTTGCGTGGTTTGTAATAAAATGGACGTCGGAGTAAGAAACCGACTTCTTGAGTGTAGTGATTGTCATGCTTTGTATCACCAAGAGTGTCATAAACCTCCTGTGAGTGAGGAGGATGTTGTAAGCTCTTGGGTTTGCTCAAATTGCAAAAGCATTAGGTAAAAGTGAAACAATTTTACTGCGAGCGTCGTACCAAATGCATTATTTTATTTCAGCGCTAAGAAAGCTAAAACTGTTGAAAAGGAGCACAATTCTAAAAGTTCTTCTAGTTCAAGGTCTGACAGTCACCGACATGGTTCTTCACATAAGTCTTCTAGGTAATACCCGTATATAATGTGGAAGTTATAGAAGTACTAAAAGTGTTCTGAATGTTTCAGTGACAAGTACAAATCAAGCGGCAAATCATCTTCCAGCAGTTCGAAGTCCTCACCTAGTCATTCGTCCAGGTAAGCACTCACTTTCTCAGTTAAAGCCACAATAAAACATCGATTAATACACTTATTTGAAGTTTAAATGCATGGCGTATTTATGATAAACCGTAAATAACATGTAAATGATCAAAACCGTTAGGTGAAATTGATATTCGTGATCCAGCATCTGTACAATTCTGTAGCTGATTTTCTAGTACTTAAGTTAAACCAAATTCCCTGCTTTTGGCTTAAAAAACATTTTAGGGGCACTTTTTACATTAAGCCAAAAGAGCTGCTTAGAAAATAGCTTTTCTTACGGTTAAATTATTTTCAGATCTGATGATAAAAAATCTTCAAGCAAGAGCAGCAAAAGTTCATCCTCAAAACACTACTCAGAAAAGCGAAAACATGACTGACCTCTCAAAAAATCTGATCATAGAACCGTTAAGCTGAAACTAAAATTTTCGGACTTTGATGTAGTTAAAGAAATCAGTGTTAGCCCCAAAATTGATGATTGAAATATGTATAGAAATTTTATAGAATCTTAAAAACCGGGTTCCTCATTTAGCAATACACTGCATCTCACGTTATAGAAACCTAATAACAAACACATTGTGTAACATTTTATTTTGTCTTTGATATTACATTGTCTTATCTGAATTATTCTATCTAAAATAATCCTTACTTTGCTAGTCAGTAATAAGTACTATCACAACAATTTTATTTATGGATTGGCCATTTTATTTTGGAATTTGGCATCTTGGAAAGTACAAATTTATATGTAAAAGACATGGATTCCACAAAGTGGCGGTGAAAAGTAATAATGAATTGCATCAAAAAAATAGTTTTAACAATACATATAAGAAAAAATTATTTTATTCAATCATTTTTCAATCAATTTTTATTGAAAAATTAGCAAATTAAAACCGTACTCATATTAATTTAGCCACATTTGCTACATAAATCCCTAACTTCGTAATTTAACATGTTTTAGTATTGACTAGATCTAGCAAAAGGTAATACTTTATACTTATTCCTCTATTCTCAACGCGATTATGGTTGCATTTTTCAAAATAAACTATTAAGACGATATGATACGTTTTTTATTTTTTTCTTATCATCAACATGTATCCGGCTTACTCCAATTCATTTACGCAATGGCGATTGGTTCTAAAATTGGCTCTCTTTCCTCCACCCATGTGGCCCAGTCTCTATTACGCGCGGCATATTGGTCCTCAATTTTCGGTTGAATAAAATTATTACTTTCGATGAATGAAATGGATGCCTACATAAAGCAAAAATACACAATCAATATTGGTTTAAAGAAAGGCTAAGCAAACTGTAGTAATTCACTGTTACATGTGTTCTAAAACCACAAAAAAATATCGTTAAAATTACAATATGTTTAAAGGTTTCTCTAAATTGGATAACTTTACCTTTGAATAACTAAAACTTATTTGCAACTTTTAGCGACATTTAAAACGGGATTTAAAGGCGTGTTAGTATTTCCTCCACCAAAACCAACCACACTTAAAAAAATAATTTTGTTCTCAATACCTACTTGTGATTGTTATTATGGTGGCCGTGCTGAAAAATGTTTAATATTTAAGTATTAAAAATTGAAATCTTGTGGATGAGTTTTCCTTTTTATTACTTTTTACTCTTATCATATAACCAGTTCTCTAAAACTCTTTGAATCGTTCAGGTCCATTTGTTACTTAGTTATGCGTCGATTGTTTAAACAATACCGGTAATTTTCATGACATCTTATTCGCAATTCCGTAAACAAATTTGAATGAAAAAAACAACGATTATTAATAACTGATCAAAATTCACTTAAACTTTCGAATTTAAATAAAAATAATTTAATTTTGGCCGAGCTATTATTTAACGATGTAATTAATGTTATTCGATTGCACGAAATTGAAACGTTTGTCCAAAAATGCTTAATGAATTCGGTATCTGCGGTTTTCGATAAAATGAAAGAAATTTCTTCTATTCAAAATCTACTGGTGATGCTATTTCATCTGGATTTATTTTCATACTTCTCTTATAGGAAAGCTTATGCGTGAGTGAAATTTATTTAAAAACAACACAAAGTTTAGACTTGATTGTTTCCAGAAATGTTTAGTTTTCGTTTTTCAAGGGTAATTCTACATGCTAAAAATAAAGGTAGTAAGTCATGTAACGCAAATGCGAAATCTGAATCTTTTCGAGTTACAGCTTATAAAACTTCATTTTGTTTATTTTTATTTTTGACCATTCTTCGATTATTCACAGCTCAGTGATCTATACCGTTCTGAAAAAAATTACTTCTTCACTTTACCATTAGATGACAATTTACCTGAAATTAAAATTTAATTTTTCGCATGCCTATCTAGATACGTAACACCCATTGTGTCTCAACATGCTTCAACCGTGTAAGAAATTTAAATAGAGCTAGTGTTTCCTACGAAATTAAAATTTAATAAACCACTTAAAAGAAAATTATTTTAATCACGATTTCTATTAACGGTTAAGTGTGTTTTTAATCATAGCGTATATTGCAGGATTATATTTTTTTTGGATCACACCACTTGTGCAATTTAACCTACTCATACGGTCCAATAGTGTCTTGTTTAATAAAAGTTGTGAATTAGTCTTACCGTTGCCTTTAAGGGAAAATCGACTCTTAAAGCCTGAGTGAATGAAGGATTTGTCACGGTCACTAGTTTGGTATGAGGAACATACCCGTCCTTATAAACAGTCACTTTGTAAGTGCCTGGAGTTAGAAGTCGGTAGTAGTCCCCGCCATAAACTGAACAGTTTTGAAGTATTAGTTAATCTTTAATAATGAGAATGTTTTAATACTTACCTGATGTGATATCATGCTTGATATCGATCGACTCAACGCCAGTTACATTGGCGACATGAATTATTGCATTACTTATGGGTTGTTTAGTTTTAGCATCATACACCACTCCTTTGATTCCAATATGACTCTAAAATTTAACGTGCTTAAATGGGTATAAAGGGCAGGATTTTGCATATTTTTTAAGTTTTAATCAATATGCAAAGTCGTTCTTTTTCCACACAGAATTTGTTTTTATATCAATATCAATATATCAATCAACCCTCTTGTTACAAGATGTTACAATTGCATTCTAATTAGTTCCTTATATCTACCTGCCAAATATAATTTATTAGAGCCTCTTTGTTTCTTTCCCACTCCAACTGCAAATCTTCTGGTGGTGGATATTTCTCGCATCCTAATTCCAGAGTCAGTTCGAAATCGTTGCTTGATAAGTAGTTGAAATCCTGCATTCCTGCAATAAATAATTCGCTATATTTCGGCAGCAAATAACTATTTGCATGTAAATGCTACCTCCTTGTAAACTGTACCATTGAGCCCCATTAGTAATGCCGCCCTGTTTTGCAAACTGCGAATCCACACACCCTTTTCTGTGCTGGCTGGCCATATCCGGATGTCTCGAAGAGTATGCCAAAGCAAGATGCCTAAAATTAGCAAAAGACTTCGGTAATTACAATAAATTGAAAATACGACTAAGGTAAGGACCTAAATGTTTCGTCATCGGGAGTAGCAGCATATTCATTAGACTGACTTCCTGATCGGCTTTCATCATAAGGGTAATTAGCCACTAAGTCTCCCCCATGCAGATTTGCACTCAAGACAAAGGGAATTTGCATTATTAGACGAATCACTGCTCGAGTCTCAGGTTGTAACTAGAAGCAAGCAATTTTCTAGATAGTTTCACCAGGAAGTGCTTACCAGGAAAGTGTGTATCTTACCGGATCATTCAGTTTAGTAAGTTGTTCAAGTAAATGATTATTTTTGTCACTGTTTTCATATTCATTGTCGAAAACGATTCGATCCAAATCTGGAAAGTTTCGGTTTAAATCCACGGAATTATTGTTGGTTCTGCCAATTAAATAATCATGACCGCCCTAGAAATTAAATGGTAGTGAAAATATAAGCAAATTCTAGACAAAGGTTCGTTTAGTGATACATGAAACTCGCGTCGGAACACAACTAAAGCAAAAAATAATTACTCTTAAAAGGTACTAACTAATTTATATTTAAGAATAGTTTACATGGGTGTAAATGTTTGTTCATGGGATTTTGCAAAAATGCTTTTCTAAAAAACGCGTAAAATTGCGTAACGGGATAAATCTCTAATTAAATATTTATCTTAAATTATTAAGAGAAAAGACCAAGAAGGTTCTAAACCTTTTATTACAAACTTCGAAATCGAAAATTCAATAAAATATAAAGCTCATAGAATACCCGAAAATATGAGGATAATTAATGACAACATACGCAAAATTAAAAATTTTACGTCTCAATTATGTTACCATGATGTATAAAAATGGAAATCACTTAGAGGATTTCTGTCGTTTTTTAAATGTATACAATATTCAATATAGTATATACTCACATAAATTCACCAAAAATAAAAAAACAATGCATTTTTCATTCTGCTAAGATGCTTTATCATAGTTTCTAGCTAGGGAAGGAAATATGAATCAGACGATTTACTTCAAACACTGAATCAATCAATCTTTCCAGTGTGTTTTTTTCATTTAGAAGGAAAACTATTAATTCAATTATTAGAATTAGCTATTATTAAATGTTAAGGTTCATTGTCTTAAGAAATCTTCTGATATTCGCTACAACATAAAAATGGATAGTAGCCGAAGCGTGATCAGAACAGCAATAAAAGTTAATTTAATGAAAGTCGATTTAATTGGCTAAATATTTTTTTCGATAAAACTTAAGTTGTCTCTATTTTTTCATTGGGTCGATTTAGTCTCCGTGGGTAAAATTTGCTGATTTTTTCGCAAATAAGCTTTTGAAGACAAATTTTGATTATATAAAGCCGAGTTTTCATTTTATTCCAAAGATGCTTCAATTAAAGTCCACATTATTGCTTTTATATTAGTGAAGATCAATTTGGATGAATTGATACGAGCGTATTATATTGCATGGCAAATTAAATAGCCACTTTATTTGGTTTAGATTTTATGTAACAAGAATACTTTATATAAAAAAAATTATATACATTTGTAAATTTTAGAATTTACAAATCGACCTACACATATAAAAACTGAAATGCTGTATTTTTCATTTAATTTTTGGCATTTATTTCAAGTAATTAGATCAACTCTTAGATTGTTTTTTGCAAATTAGTTTATTGTTTAGCTTCTGTCCATTTTTTTATGATTTCATTCCAAATGTAATTTTTTTGTATGATTAAAACACATTTCTCTACGAAATCTTAAACATTTCATAATTTGAAATCTCAGTTTTCTCCTACAAAAATTGTTATTACAAGTAGGTAAAATAATTACTTGTAATAGTATGTATTCCAAATCAAAATCAATTCCTGGGCTTCAGTCATTTATTGTCTATTTATCAATTAAAATGCGTTTCGGTGTTTCCATCATCAGTTTCTATGTGTAGCGTTGTTGCTACTTTAAGCCTTGGCATATATTTGGAGTATTAATTTTGTCCATTTTGCACACAAGCTTTGTGATTTGGAATTGAAACACAGTCAGGAAAGTATGTACAATAGTATGTATTCAAATTTTATATAAATCACTTGTCGGCAAATTGCCTTCATTCGATATGTTTATTTTTGTTTGTACTTTTGTAATTGCAATTTAAACCACCCATATAAAAGTTGAATCAATTTATTAAACAAATAGCTTTTCTGTTATTTGGTGTGGTAAAATCAAATTAATGAATGAGCCAGACATTTAATAATTAAAAAAGTGCTTTATAAATTATGATCGAAAACATTTCGTTGCACAAAAATGCTGAATAAAAATTTCACCCCACTAATTAGAGATTGCAGTGATTTCAGTAATAGTATACATAGATAACGAAACAAATGTGAAGTTTTGAAGACGGCCAAGTCTAAAAAGAATCTAATGTTTCCCAAGTATGGGTTTATTTTAAATTTTAAACCTGATGATGGCGCTGTTGTCTCGCCGAAACGTAACATTTTTATTTCACATTTTGACTGAAACGCAGGAAAGAAAAAATATAATAACAATTACGCGCAGTCAGGAAAATAAATTTAAAAAAAAGTATACATAGAGCCAGATAATAAAAGACCATATACAAGGTGATTCAAAATTAGCGTCATTCGTCTGGAGATGTTGCCTGGGGGTGTTTTAGGGTTACACAAAAAATACTTACTCACTAAAAATAAATAATTGTTTTTAAAAACTGAGAAATTTGCAAAAACTATATCGGAAAGACGGCAACAAAGTTTTTCAATGTAATCTGCCTAATTAACATTAAACAGCTTGTTTAAGCTTGATTGATATAAGTAATTGATTAAAATAATAAAAATCGTTTCATTGTCTAGAAAGACTAAATTATTCAAATATTTAACACGCACCACTGCGATTTTATAAGCTGGCAATATATTTGAAACTTTATAAAAATATCTCAGATGGTGTAAATGATAAAAACATTTTTGCATTATGGCTTATCAACCAAACTACTGTTTGCATTCCATGCAGAATGACTCAAATATTTACACACCAGAGAAATGCTTTCGAAACGAAATCCAGATTTAAGTCCTCAGAATTAATTTAAAAAATTGTTCTTACTGTATCAGTAGCCAGTTGCCAACCATCTGGATTCATACTGGGCATCAAATGAATCCTAGTGGTTTCGATCAATTCCTTGATATGAGGATTCCCAGTTCGATACTCATCGCAAAGATAATCAGCCAATTTCAGAAGAAGTTCCCTACCCAAAACTTCATTCCCGTGCATATTTGCGATGTATTTAAATTCCGGTTTTACTACAAAAAATATATAATATACAAGTCTAACTTATTCGTTGAACAAATATTATAAAGCTTTGGAAAGTTGATGCTTTTATCGAATATTCTTAAGCCCAATTATCGCTTCAACTTATTATTATTCTAACCCAACCCGTTCATTAGCAAATCCTCCAAGCGATTTCAAATTCTGATTAGAGTTTTCCCGTAAAATATTTGCGCCAGTTTCAGTCCCAATCGGTTGTAATTAAATCCTGTATCGATTTTCAGTTAAGATAACTACCCACAGGGTGAATATTAGTAAACTAATTAATCATGCAACTGACGCAGCAAGTGAAACTTAAAGGGCTTTTTTTGATAAATTGCTTGTAAAAAGTGATAACAAAATGAGCAAATTACGTTGAAATTAGGTTGAATATTTGTAGTATGTTTCATAGCGATATAAATCAGATACTTACAGACTTCGTGACGGCCAGGCTTTGTAGAAAACTCAATCACATAGAGAGGAATGCCCAGCACTGACCCTTCATTTAGGGCATACACTCTAGTAATGTTCTTGCATTTTATGTTGACATCCCTTAAAGGCGAATTGTTGACTAATTAAATGTTTAATTAATATAATAATTAAATACTATTTTTTTTAATGATAAATTCAGGATTCATTACTTCCAAAAATGCACATGCTTTTTTATTGCACTTTTTTTTTATGCACATTTTTATCACTAAATGGGCATTTTCCTAATCGTTATATAAATATAAATTTTCCGAGAAGTCTAAATTTGGTGACGAGTAAAGAAAATGATCAACTAACAAGATGCGACTCAAACGGCACAAAAATCTAAAAGCCGCCAAAGATTACGTTAGCAGTCAAAGAAAACACATTGAAAATATGGCTGAGGCAAATTGATTGACTGGTAAAAAATCCCTTAGTAAGTTTAGTCTTTTTGTGGCCAAAAAGAAATAAAAATAGCGAAAAAGCAACTAAATTTTTTAAATGCAAAAAACTTAAAAATTGTTAAGTCGAGGCAAATTAATCCAACCAGAATATTTTTAGCATGTAGAATTCAACTATATTTTAGATTTTGTCTGTTTAATATGTAATATGATATACTTTAGAAGGCAAAATGATGTTCAGCCTGTCAATTTTTAGGGCAAGCTCTTATATAAGAGATTTACAAACAATTAAGCTCAACAAGCATTTGGTAAAATTTACAGAATAAAACATTTAATTTTCTATTATAAAAAAAATGTAATACAATTTTTTTAACTAAAAAAAGTCAGCGTACCTCAAAACATTAAACAGCTCTTGATTATCATGATGTTTGAACTCGAAACCACTTGAAACTCCAATGCAAACAGCAATCAACAAGATGAACAGTTGGGATGAAAATCGAAACCCTTCCATTCGAACGTTAAACATATGTTCAACAAATATCTTCGGTTTTGAAGAAAAATTTATATTTTTCTTCTGCTTCAAATGAAAAAAAATGGTTGTTTTAGTAGCAATGCGATCCCGAAATTGTATCAATTTTGCATAGTGAATTTATTTGATGCACAGGAACTCTGTAAATAAAATTATAATTAGATTAGTTGAATATTTGCAATCGAATATCAATAATATTCAGCAAATAGTAATTTAGAAAATGAATACATTGAAAATCCCAGCCCCATTTCTGTGGGACTTTTTCAATCAGCTTACCTTTGATGTATGTACTTCCAATAGTTAGCTACTTTCGAGCGACAATTAAACTATCAATACTGCAAGAATGAATATCGGAACATTTCGGATATGACTAAAATGTTACAGAATGTTATTTTAAAGGCGCCGCGACGCTAGCGCAGCGTCGGCGTCCGATATGACGTCAGGGTTGGATTATGGATTTTATGGAAAAACCGATGAGATTTTGTCTCTGCCATGCGGTTTATTTAATGA